GTATCTGACACTAAAATTACATCATCGGCAAAAGGAGGATAAAATTTCAATCATATCTGGAAACATTTGCACACCATGTTTACCTGCATTAGAAATATCATAATACAGTTCGCTTATAAAGAAGGAAAACAATACAGGGCTTAAAATACACCCTTGCCGAACTCCCATGGGACAGTCGAAAAAATCAGTGAGATCATCACCACAACGAACACATGATTTAATATTCAAGTACATAGATTTTAAAATAGAATACATTTTCCTTGTAAACCAGACTTTCGTAAGCAGTGCCATAATTTACAACGATCCACAGAGTCAAAAGCTTTCTTAAAGTCAACAAATGCTACATAAAGTTTGTGTTTATTACGTGATAGACACTTTTGTATTATTGCATATAGTGTAAAGATATGGTCAGTAGTTGAATAATCTTTTCTAAAAGCTGCCTGACATTCAGGAATTAAGTTTCTTAGATTTGACCAGTTTGAGATTCTGTTGTTTAAAACAGTTGTAAATATTTTCCCAATAACACTCATTAAAGATATGCCTCTGTAATTATCTGGATTTTCTTGAGCCCCCTTTTTATGTATAGGGACGATAATTGAACGAGACCAGCTTTCTGGAAACGAACCACTTTCAAATACAGTATTAAAACACTTATGGAGGAAGGGCATTAACTCGATTTGAGAACATTTAATCATTTCGATTATAATATTGTCGGGACCAGCTGCTTTTCCGCTCTTTAAGTTATTTATAGCATTCTTTATCTCATCTACTGAAATTTGTGTTTCCAAAATCATTTGATCAACAGTGTCATAGTCATTTGAAGAGATAATATCATCGTCGAAGGAATAACCATCGCTTGAAAAAAACAGCATCATTAGAAAAAAACTGTCTTGAAATGTGTCATCCATTCACATTTTGAAATATTACTTTTAAGATTTGATCTCTTTCTAAATGAACGAATTTGTTTCCAGAACATAGCAGGATTGTGAATAGAATCATTCAATCTGTTCAATCTTTGATTACGGAGGTTAGATTTGAATTTTCTACATGAAGCTTTGTATTTGTTTCTCATTTTACAAAAATAATTTCTGTTTCTCTCTGAGCGTCTACACCGAAAACTTCTAAGTGCTTTGCGCGCGTCTCGTCGCGCAGATTTACACTCGTCACTTAAGGGTGTTTTATAGTTTTGCTTGAACGGCTTAGTCTTTTTTCTTCATACAATCTGCTGAATCTAATATGACATGGACAAATTCATCTAAAGCTCCGTTTAGATCGAACTCAAGTTTCGATAAGAGACGGTCGTTATAAAATGAAGTCTTACTTTTCAAATTATCTAAATATATTTCGCAACAGGCGTCGTTCCAAACAATCTTTTCTTTATAATCATCAATATGGTTTGTATCACTTGAGTTTTTCATATTTGGAAATTGACATGTCAGTTCTAATGGTAAATGATCAGAGTCTACTCTGTCTCCAATATTCAACAAGTTAATAAATTGGAAAAAAGTCTGGTGAACCAATAAAATAGTCATTGACACTTGATCCCTGTTGCCCATGAAACGTATATTCCCCTTGTGAGTCTCCATACACTCTACCGTTCGCTATGAACACGTTGAAGGTATAGCATAAATCTAATAGCAGATTACCAAAATTATTAACAACAGTGTCGTGAGAATTACGATCATCAATAGGATAGTGGTCATCATCAGCGCTCGCTTGGAATATATGATTCATATTATCATCATCAAGACTAGGAGACACATTGTTTTGTTTTCCTGTACGGGCATTCAGATCACCACAGATAACAGTGTGACATTCAGCACAGTCATGGAGATTCGCTAGCAGATATTGCTCCAGTTGTTCAATATTACATTTGTGATTCATATACTTATAGTACGCTGAACCAATAGGAGGAATATAAGTGCACATCAAATTTATATCTTTGTCAAGTGAAAACAATTCCTTTGAGAATTTGATACAAATGAAATTATCAATATCAGATGTTAATTGTCTATAATTATTCCTAAGCGAATGGTGGATGCAAACGCAAACACCTCCTGAGAGTCTACCGTGATCTGACAATTTGATAGCAGGGCTATAAAACATGTCATAGCCATCCAACCAACTGTAAGAGATATCGGTTACAAAAGTCTCAATCAAACATATGACGTGAAATTTACGAAGATAATCGATAAAACTGATATCATCAATCTTTTCAGTCAACCCATTTATGTTCCAGCACAAAAAGTCTGTTTTCTCACTGTCAGTTTCAATCCGAGTAGGCGAAAGACGATTATCACCGGTGTCAGTGCTAAGAGGACCCTGTGATATAAAGTCCGGGCCTTGGCAGTATATATCCCCTGTTCTTTGTGGCTGTCAGTATATATCCCCTGTTCCCTGTGGCTGTCTGTATAGACTCCCTGTTCCCTGTTGCTGTCTGTATAGACTGCATGTTCCCTGTAGTTGTCAGTGTATATCCCCTGTTCCCTGTTGGTGTCAGTATATTTCCCCTGTTCCCTGTGGTATTCAGTATACATCCCCTGTTCCCGGTGATTGTCAGTATAGACACCCTGTTCCCTGTGGTATTCAGTATAGACTCCCTGTTCCCTGGATGTCACATCCACTATCTCATCACATTGTCACATCCCGTATCTTATCTTATTTTCACACCCCATATCTCACCACATTACCACACGAGATCTGTCATCACATTGTCACACCCCGTGTGTCACAACATTGTCATAAACCGTGTCAAACATTGTCACACCCTGCATCTCACCACATTCTCACACCCCGTATCTCACCACATTCTCACACTCCCTATCTCATCACATTGTCACACCTCGTATCTCAACACATTCTCACACTCCATATCTCATCACATTGTCACACCCCATTTGTCACCACATTCTCACACCCTGTATCTCACCACATTCTTACACCCCGTATCTCATCACACTGTCACACCCCGTATCTCACCACTTTCTCACACTCCATATCTCATTACATTGTCACACCCTATCTCATCACAATGCCACACCCCATGTGTCACCACCTTGTCACAAACCGTGTCACACATTGTTCCACCCCATATCTCACTCCATTGTCTCAAACCGTATCACACATTGTCATACCAGCTATCTCATATTGTCACAAACCGTGTCACACATTGTCGCACCCCATATCTCACTCCATTGTCACAAACCGTGTCACACATTGTCGCACCCCATATCTCACTCCATTGTCACAAACCGTGTCACACATTGTCGCACCCCATATCTCACTCCATTGTCACACTCCGTGTCACACATTGTCGCACCCCATATCTCACTCCATTGTCACACTCCGTGTCACACATTGTTGCACCCCATATCTCACTCCATTGTCTCAAACCATGTCACACATTGTCGCACCCCATATCTCACTCCATTGTCACAAACCGTGTCACACATTGTCACACCCCATATCTCACTCCATTGTCACCTCCGTGTCACACATTGTCGCATCCCATATCTCACTCCATTGTCACACTCCGTGTCACACATTGTCGCACCCCATATCTCACTCCATTGTCTCAAACCGTTTCACACATTGTCGCACCCCATATCTCACTCCATTGTCACACTCCGTGTCACACATTGTTGCACCCCATATCTCACTCCATTGTCACAAACCGTGTCACACATTGTCGCACCCCATATCTCACTCCATTGTCACAAACCGTGTCTCACATTGTCGCACCCCATATCTCACTCCATTGTCACACTCCGTATCTCATCATATTGTCACAACCGTGTCACGCACATTCTCACAGCACGTGTATCACAACATTCTCACACAACGTGTCTCACCATATTTTGATACCACGTGTCTCATTACATTCTTGCACCTGCTGTCTCATCAGCTGTCTCACGCGGGTGTCATTGGTGATACTCTGTGATGGGGAAGTACTCATACTTCCAGCTTATAGTGTACTGATTATGTTGGCGAAACCTTCACCATCAGCTGTCTCACGGGGTGTCATTGGTGATACTCTGTGATGGGGAAGTACTCATACTTCCAGCTTATAGTGTACTGATTATGTTGGCGAAACCTTCACCATCAGCTGTCTCACGGGGTGTCATTGGTGATACTCTGTGATGGGGAAGTACTCATACTTCCAGCTTATAGTGTACTGATTATGTTGGCGAAACCTTCACCATCAGCTGTCTCACGCGGGTGTCATTGGTGATACTCTGTGATGGGGAAGTACTCATACTTCCAGCTTATAGTGTACTGATTATGTTGGCGAAACCTTCACCATCAGCTGTCTCACGCGGGTGTCATTGGTGATACTCTGTGATGGGGAAGTACTCATACTTCCAGCTTATAGTGTACTGATTATGTTGGCGAAACCTTCACCATCAGCTGTCTCACGGGGTGTCATTGGTGATACTCTGTGATGGGGAAGTACTCATACTTCCAGCTTATAGTGTACTGATTATGTTGGCGAAACCTTCACCATCAGCTGTCTCACGGGGTGTCATTGGTGATACTCTGTGATGGGGAAGTACTCATACTTCCAGCTTATAGTGTACTGATTATGTTGGCGAAACCTTCACCATCAGCTGTCTCACGGGGTGTCATTGGTGATACTCTTTGATGGGGAAGTACTCATACTTCCAGCTTATAGTGTACTGATTATGTTGGCGAAACCTTCACCATGAGTGTCCAATGGGGTATTGAAACATTAATAATAAGACAATCGTTACACACTAGTGGGTTAGGGAGTATGGTTTTACGCCGCTGTTAGCAATATTCCAGCAACATCACGGCGGGGAACACAAGAAATGGGCTGCACACATTGTACCCATGTGGGGAATCGAACACGGGCCTTCGGGATGACGAGCGAACGCTTTAACCACTAGGCTAGCCCACCGCCTCCGTTAAACACTAAACCATGAATGCAGGTTAATGTCCAGTCATACTTTCAACGACATAATGTTGACTGTGTGTTTAAGGATGTGAGTATGGAGACAAGAGCACTTGGTGTACTTCGAAACTCATCCCCCAGACTGACTGCCCATACAATCTCGACCTGTGCTGCGGAACATGCAGTTGGGGGGGATCAGGTAAGTTAACACATTTGACATTCGAGTCCGTAACGATGAAAAACAGCAAATGAGAACGGAGTTTTGATCACGTTTTTTAAGAGAAATACAGAATGATAATTTCTATGTTATACGTTAATATGTTTAAATATGTAACCAAATAAGCTTTTCAACAACAACAACAACAACAACAACAACAACAACAACAACAAGACCGACAATAAAGCAGACAACAATATATCAAGTATTACGGGTATCTGTCTGGATTTCTTTCTACAGGATCCGAGCAGTCCTTACCAAGACAATTTCTACGAGACAGCGGATCAGGTGAGATATTAATGCTTTGCTATGACTGCTATGAATATTTCAGGGAAACACAAACGTATATCCCATAACTGTGTTAGGATGTACACCCATGCCCTTTTTCTTCAAACATTACATCTATACGGTGTACAACCCCAATATGTAAAATCAAGACAATATGTAAAAACTAACGCAATATGTAAAAACTTAACGCAAAACGTAAAATATAACGCAATATGTAAATGATTAACGCCAAATGTAAAAAATATCTTTCACGCAATCTGTAAACACCTAACGCAAAATGTAAAAACGATTTTTAATGCAATTTGTAAAAGACTAACGGAATCTGTAAAATACAGCTTTATTGTTGTTTATTGTTTTGGCGACTGAAATTCAGTTTTGAGAAACTTTACTTTATACTTTTTCAAAATAACTAAGCTAAGCAGTGGAATAGTGTGTAGTGTGTAGTGAATAGTGAAAAGTGTGCAGTGTATAATGCCCATAGTGCAGTGTAATAGTGTGTAGTGCGGAGTATGTAGTGTATAGTGTGCTGTGTATAATGCCCATAGTGCAGTGTGATAGTGTGTAGTGCGGAGTATGTAGTGAATAGTGTGCTGTGTATAATGCCCATAGTGCAGTGTGATAGTGTGTAGTGCGGAGTATGTAGTGAAAAGTGTGCTGTGTATAATGCCCATAGTGCAGTGTGATAGTGTGTAGTGCGGAGTATGTAGTGAATAGTGTGCTGTGTATAATGCCCATAGTGCAGTGTGATAGTGTGTAGTGCGGAGTATGTAGTGAATAGTGTGCTGTGTATAATGCCCATAGTGCAGTGTGATAGTGTGTAGTGCGGAGTATGTAGTGAATAGTGTGCTGTGTATAATGCCCATAGTGCAGTGTGCAGTGGAATAGTGTGTAGTGCGGAGTATGTAGTGAATAGTGTGCAGTGTATAATTCCCATAGTGTAGTGTGCAGTGGAATAGTGTGCAGTGTATAATGACCATAGTGCAGTGTGCAGTGGAATAGTGTGTAGTGCGGAGTGTGTAGTGTATAGTGTACAGTGTATAATTCCCATTGTGCAGTGTGGCGTGTCATCGGGTGTAGTGCGGAGTGTGTAGTGTATAGTGTACAGTGTATAATTCCCATTGTGTAGTGTGGCGTGTCATCGGGTGTAGTGCGGAGTGTGTAGCGTATAGTGTACAGTGTATAATTCCCATTGTGTAGTGTGGCGTGTGATCGTGTGTAGTGCGGAGTGTGTAGTGTATAGTGTACAGTGTATAATTCCCATTGTGTAGTGTGGCGTGTGATCGTGTGTAGTGCGGAGTGTGTAGTGTATAGTGTACAGTGTATAATTCCCATTGTGTAGTGTGGCGTGTCATCGGGTGTAGTGCGGAGTGTGTAGCGTATAGTGTACAGTGTATAATTCCCATTGTGTAGTGTGGCGTGTGATCGGGTGTAGTGCGGAGTGTGTAGTGTATGGTGACCAGTGTATAAAGCCCATTGTGTAGTGTGGCGTGTCATCGGGTGTAGTGTGGAGTGTGTAGTGTATAGTGTACAGTGTATAAAGCCCATTGTGCAGTGTGGCGTGTCATCGTGGGTAGTGCGGATTGTGTAGTGTATAGTGTACAGTGTATAAAGCCCATTGTGTAGTGTGGCGTGTCATCGGGTGTAGTGCGGAGTGTGTAGTGTATAGTGTACAGTGTATAATTCCCATTGTGCATTGTGATGTGTCATCGTGTGTAGTGCGGAGTGTGTAGTGTATAGTGTACAGTGTATAAAGCCCATTGTGCAGTGTGGCGTGTCATCGTGGGTAGTGCGGAGTGTGTAGTGTATAGTGTACAGTGTATAAAGCCCTTTGTGCAGTGTGGCGTGTCATCGTGGGTAGTGCGGAGTGTGTAGTGTATAGTGTACAGTGTATAAAGCCCATTGTGCAGTGTGGCGTGTCATCGTGGGTAGTGCGGAGTGTGTAGTGTATAGTGACCAGTGTATAAAGCCCTTTGTGCGGTGTGGCGTGTCATCGTGGGTAGTGCGGAGTGTGTGGTGTATAGTGTACAGTGTATAAAGCCCATTGTGCAGTGTGGCGTGTCATCGTGGGTAGTGCAGAGTGTGTAGTGTATAGTGACCAGTGTATAAAGCCCTTTGTGCAGTGTGGCGTGTCATCGTGGGTAGTGCGGAGTGTGTAGTGTATAGTGTACAGTGTATAAAGCCCATTGTGCAGTGTGGCGTGTCATCGTGGGTAGTGCGGAGTGTGTGGTGTATAGTGTACAGTGTATAAAGCCCATTGTGTAGTGTGGCGTGTCATCGTGGGTAGTGCGGAGTGTGTAGTGTATAGTGTACAGTGTATAAAGCCCATTGTGCAGTGTGGCGTGTCATCGTGGGTAGTGCGGAGTGTGTAGTGTATAGTGTACAGTGTATAAAGCCCATTGTGTAGTGTGGCGTGTCATCGTGGGTAGTGCGGAGTGTGTAGTGTATAGTGTACAGTGTATAAAGCCCATTGTGTAGTGTGGCGTGTGATCGTGTGTAGTGCGGAGTGTGTAGTGTACAGTGTATAAAGCCCATTGTGCAGTGTGGCGTGTCATCGTGGGTAGTGCGGAGTGTGTAGTGAATAGTGTGCTGGGTATAATGCCCTTTCTGGAGTGTGTAGTGTAATAGTGTGTAGTGCGGAGTATGTAGTGAAAAGTGTGCAGTGTATAATGCCCATAGTGCAGTGTGCAGTGTAATTGTGTGTAGGGCGGAGTGTGCATTGTAATAGTGTGTAGGGCGGAGTGTGTAGTGTAATAGAGTGTAGGGCGGAGTGTGCAGTGTAATATTGTATAGGGCGGAGTGTGTAATATGTAGTGAATAGTGTGCAGTGTATAGTGCCCATTGTGTATTGTGCAGTGTAATAGTGTGTAGGGCGGAGTGTGTAGTGTATAGTGAATAGTGTGCAGTGTATAATGCCCATAGTGCAGTGTGCAGTGTTATTGTGTTTAGGGCGGAGTGTGTAGTGTAATAGTGTGTAGGGCGGAGTGTGCAATGTAATAGTGTGTAGGGCGGGGTGTGTTATGTAATAGTGTGTAGGGCAGAGTGTGCAGTGTAATAGTGTGTAGGACGGAGTGTGTAATATGTAGTGAAAAGTGTGCAGTGTATAATACCCATTGTGTATTGTGCAGTGTAATAGTGTGTAGTGCGGAGCGTGTAGTGTATAGTGAATAGTGTGCTTCGTATAATGCCCATTGTGTAGTGTGTAGTGTAATAGTGTGCAGTCTACAAGGCCCATTGTGTAGTGTGCAGTGTAATTCTGTTTAGGGCGGAGTGTGTAGTGTAGTAGTATGTATGGCGGAGTGTGCAGTGTAATAGTGTGTAGGGTGGAGTGTGCAGTGTAATAGTGTGTATGGCGGAGTGTGTAGTGTATAGTGAATAGTGTGCAGTGTATAATGCCCATTGTGTAGTGTGCAGTGTAATTGTGTGTAGGGCGGAGTGTGTTGTGTAAAAGTGTTTAGGGCGGAGAGTGTAGTGTAATAATGTGTAGGGTGGAGTAGTGCAGTGTAATAGTGTGTAGGGTGGAGTGTGCAGTGTAATAGTGTGTATGGCGGAGTGTGTAGTGTATAGTGAATAGTGTGCAGTGTATAATGCCCATTGTGTAGTGTGCAGTGTAATTGTGTTTAGGGCGGAGTGTGTAGTGTAGTAGTGTGTAGGTCTGAGTGTGCAGTGTTATAGTGTGTAGGGCGGAGTGTGTAATATGTAGCGAATAGTGTGTTTTGTATAATTCACATTGTGTAGTGTGCAGTGTAATAGTGTGTAGGGCGGAGTATGTGATGTATAGTGAATAGTGTGCAGTGTATAATTCCCATTGTGTAGTGTGCAGTGTAATTGTGTTTAGGGCGGAGTATGTAGTGTAGTAGTGTGTAGGGCGGAGTGTGCAGTGTGCAGTGTAATATTGTGTTTAGGGCGGAGTGTGCAGTGTAGTAGTGTGTAGGGCGGAGTGTGCAGTTTGAAAGTGTGTCGTGGGAGTGTGCAGTGTAATAGTGTGTAGGGTGGAGTGTGCAGTGTAATAGTGTGTATGGTGGAGTATGTAGTGTATAGTGAATAGTGTGCTGGGTATAATGCCCATTGTGTAGTGTGCAGTGTAATTGTGTCTAGGGCGGAGTGTTTAGTGTAGTAGTGTGTAGGGCGGAGCGTGCAGTGAAATAGTGTGTAGGGCGGAGTGTGCAGTGTAATAGTGTGTAGGTCGGAGTGTGTAGTGTAATAGTGTGTAGGGTGGAGTGTGCAGTGTAATAGTGTGTATGGCGGAGTATGTAGTGTATCGTGAATAGTGTGCTGGGTATAATGCGGATTGTGTAGTGTGCAGTGTAATTGTGTGTAGTGCGGAGTGTGCATTGTAATAGTGTGTAGAGGGGAGTGTGTAGTGTAATAGAGTGTAGGGCGGAGTGTGCAGTGTAAAATTGTATAGGGCGGAGAGTGTAATATGTAGTGAATAGTGTGCAGTGTATAGTGCCCATTGTGTATTGTGCAGTGTAATAGTGTGTAGGGCGGAGTGTGTAGTGTAAAGTGGATAGTGTGCTGGGTATAATGGCCATTGTGTAGTGTGTAGTGTAATGAATAGTGTGCAGTGTATAATGCCCCTTGTGTATTTTGCAGTGTACTAGTGTGTAGCGCGGAGTGTGTAGTGTATAGTGAATAGTGTGCTGGGTATAATGCCCATTGTGTAGTGTGTAGTGTAATAGTGTGTAGGGCGAAGTGTGTAGTGTAATAGTGTGTAGGGCGAAGTGTGTAGTGTAATAGTGTGTAGGGCGAAGTGTGTAGTGTAATAGTATGTAGGGCGAAGTGTGTAGTGTAATAGTGTGTAGGGCGAAGTGTGTAGTGTAATAGTGTGTAGGGCGAAGTGTGTAGTGTAATAGTGTGTAGGGCGGAGTGTGCAGTGTAATAGTGTGTCGGGCGAAGTGTGTAGTGTAATAGTGTGTAGGGCGGAGTGTGCAGTGTAATAGTGCGTAGGGCGAAGTGTGTAGTGTAATAGTGTGTAGGGCGAAGTGTGTAGTGTAATAGTGTGTAGGGCGGAGTGTGCAGTGTAATAGTGTGTCGGGCGGAGTGTGCAGTGTAGTAGTGTGTAGGGCGGAGTGTGCAGTGTAATAGTGTGTAGGGCGGAGTGTGTAATATGTAGTGAATAGTTTGCAGTGTATAATGCCCATTGTGTATTGTGCAGTGTAATAGTGTGTAGGGCGGAGTGTGTAGTATGTAGTGAATAGTGTGCAGTGTATAATGCCCATTGTGTAGTGTGCAGTGTAATAGTGTGTAGGGCGGAGTGTGTAGTATGTAGTGAATAGTGTGCAGTGTATAATGCCCATTGTGTAGTGTGCAGTGTAAAAGTGTGTAGTGCGGAGTGTGCAGCGTGCAATGTGCCGTGTATAGTGAATAGTGTGATGTGTGTAATTCCCATTATGCAGTGTAATAGTGTATAGTGAATAGTGTGCAGTGTATAATGTCCATTGTGCAGTGTGATAGTGTATAGTGAATAGTGTGATGTGTGTAATGCCCATTGTGCAGTGTAATAGTGTATAGTGAATAGTGTGCAGTGTATAATTCCCATTGTGTATTGTGCAGTGTAATAGTGTGTAGGGCGGAGTGTGTAGTATGTAGTGAATAGTGTGCAGTGTATAATGTCCATTGTGTAGTGAATAGTGTGGAGTGTATAGTGAATAGTGTGCAGTGTATAATTCCCATTGTGTAGTGCGCAGTGTAATAGTGTTTAGTGCGGAGCGTGTAGTGAAAAGTGTGCTGTGTATACCGCAGTGTAATAGTGTTTAGTGCGGATAGTGTATTGTAAACCAACAGTGAGAGTTTTCCGCAATCTGCTTACATTAAATAGGGATGTGTGTTATTTCCTTCCTTACACAAATGACCTCTTTGGTCACAGCTACTACTAATACTTTTTAACGTTGCCTTGTGGAAGTTCAATACGTTCATGTTATAAATATTGTATGCCATTGTATATAGGGCACAGTTTGCATACATTACATAAGAGTATTGAGCGATGATATGTGTTCCAAATAAAAATAGAGAAGACTGATAACCAAGAAGTGATGGAGTTGCAATAGTCGGAGGGTGGTAAGCATTCACAACTGTGGTCATTGTTTCAGGCACATATCAACCGATGCAGTTTGAAGGGAGACAATTCCCGCAGGCACCCAATAGAAGTTCCCCGAGGCCTCTGCTCTAGCCAGCTTTTGAAGCTTTGGTTGTCAAGAACAGCTTTGTTTCCGTTTTTCTTCCCCTTTGTTTCAGCTTTGTTTTTGCTAATGTTAAATCTTATTATTTTGAATTATCTTTTCTTCTGACAATGCAAAAATAGTAGACCTGTTATTATATGATGGCCAGATGTCTTCAGAAGTGGAGAGGCATCTTCAGTGTGTCTATACAATGCATGGATGTATACCTGTCTACTGTGATGTAGCGGAGACACATACTTCAGATATCTGGTCAAACAGTGCGGCCACCCAGGCTCATCAGGTGTTACGGCTGGTGTTTTGACATGATATACACCGAGGTGACCATGGGTCAACTCGTTCCGAATATCTCAATCTATAACATTTCCGGTCTCCTTGTGGATGTGTGCGCAAACTGATCTGGTATATGTCCAGGAAACTGCCTAAATGTCAGATGCATCATGCGTATTCCCTGCTATCCGTTGGGAAGACAGGAAGTCCGAGAAAAACTCCCCTCACCGCATGCCTCACAAGTTTGACAATTTGTGAAGATTGCAGATATATATTTCTTGAATTAATATTTGACGTTTTTCCGTTTAAAATTAAATTTATCATCCAGATAGTATTCAAATTTTGAATTCCTTATGCAACATGAATGTAGGGTTGCTAAAACATGGTCTAGCATGTTCAGATAGAAATGGATATTTGTATGTCCAGCTGCATCTGCACAAGACAAGGAACAGGTTGTTCTGAAGCATGCATGCACAATGTAATTACTACCCACACACAATATATAGCAACTTATAAAGCATATATTGCTTTGTAAGTATTTGATGTGACTAGTCATTGGCCAAATGGGCATTTAGAGGTGGTCAACAGATCGCCTTGACCAAAAACTCTGCTAATTCACTGATATCTGGGTTTATAGGATTGTTCTTGTGGCTGAATTCTGTGTTTTTGCACTTGAACTGGATTTAATCAATGGTTCACATGTCGTTAGGATGACCAAAAGATGCACACAATATAGTTTTCTGTCTCCGGCATAACACTTTGTGATGATGTACATCGCATGCAGAGTTAATGATTTAAAGAAATGTGATACATGTAAACACACATTGTTAGATTATACCGTGGTTCATTGATATATACTATTCACACTTTGCTAAGGATCATATCATAGATTCAACAGAAAACTATTATGTGGGGTCAAATTTGGTTTAAATACCTAAGCTTATTTTAAGCATGGATCCTAGGTTTTAGTATGTCGTTGCATATTGTAGATCCTATATGTGCTATTCACATGTGTTGTTTATTTGTCAATGACTCGTTCCATGATTTGCAAAATGGTTGATTGGTGCCATGGAAACCATTTTCATGGTTACTCATTTATCAAGTGCATAAGGTTAGATTAGAGTGACTATTTGCCTAATGAGGGGGTTACCATATTATTATTTACCCAGTTTTAAATTCAAATTTCAAGATTCAATTTCAAATTATAAATGTACGTTTGAGTAAAGTTGTGAATGTTTGTGATCCTTAGCAAAGTGTGAGTAGTATATAACACAAACATGCCAAAAGTATAAGGTGTGTGTGTCAATATTGATTATCACTGCATGTTGAAGTATGCGAAAACAATCAATAAACAAGTTTGATCTCTTTCACTTCTTAATACGTCGTTCCGTACCACAGTACCACACAGATTACAAACGCAATAACATCGTTTCACCATCATGAAGTACATACAAGGTGACTGAAGATGCGTAAAATCCAAAGATTCACATTATGATGCGGATTTAATGTCTGACTGCATCGAAATCCAAATATTACCATAGCTTGTGACACTTGCAGTAAACATGGAACAATATCATACTGTCATTTAGCAGTCATCTCGGAGTGAAAACTAGATGACTGCTAGTCAAAGTGACATTTATGGAAAATTGATAAGATGAAAAAGATCTGAACACATCTATGTAGTACCTTGAACGTGAATATTTTGTATTTATTGAGTATTTATATGACGTAAACTGAAGGATTCATGACTAGCCAAAGGAAGACTAAAATATTATCTCAATGTGTCACATTACGAATTTTTCTTTAATTCTTTTGTATTTTATGTTGCAAAAATGAAGGAGAGGTTGCACAATGGTTCGTGGTTACATTGTACTGCGCATTATCAAGGATTTACACCGTACCGAAGGATTAACCATTGCAAAGAAAGTTTGGTATTTAAAAATATTCATAGCGAAAATGCATTAGTTTTTGGTGTATGCAATTAAGGTTGTTTTGGACGTCTTTCCCTGTTGAAACGAACCAGCATTTTGTTTCTATTTCCATCCATATCATGGCAATATATTTTTGCCATGATTGTATCACAGAAAATAGGCTTCTTTACTTCAAAGACACATCTGCTTAACCCAGCTGCTGACAAATTTTCAATCAGACTGTTAAAACGCCCAAACCAAATGGATCACCTGATGCCTCTGGCGAGAATCTTAATGTGTAATTTGGTGTTTAAAAAACTCAAAGTGTTTAACTTCGTATTTCTAGGGAATTAACTCATCCTGTTGCCTTTCGCGCATATCAGAGTTCCTCCTTCGCAACAAAAGCTGTCACCGCTAGCGCAATCAGTACGCACTTCCTCTGCTTCATTCACAGATTTTCCATCGCTTTCAATATCTCTGTTTCGTCTCATGACATATGGTGATTGTGCAATTGTATGGTATGGAAGCCTTGCTGGGACATTATAAACATGGTCTGCAACATCGTATACCCAATGGGAACTACATTACGTGTATGTAAATCACATGTTTTACGTACAATGATTGCATCTGAAATACATTTATATTATTTGTGTAAGTGCAAGTTATAGTACTTCCACATATACGCAATCTTCATTGCCTAAACTCGAAATATGATTTAGTAGTTTTTGTAACAGTAAATCATGAAAGACGATCGACTTTTATGCGTATCATACTTAATACTGTTGAATGAATCATTCTTAGTACAAAGGTCTTCGTAGGAATATGACGACATATTATGATCTTGCTATTGTTATCACTCCTTGTTGGTATAGATCAGTTTGATGACAGACACTGCGAGTGGTTATGCGGAGGTATCTGTAGGCGATAAACCAGAACAGTATCAGATATTACACGCTGAGATTGTACAACCAGCGAGTGCGGACTAGAACGGATCATAAAGCACAAGAAGGTTGATTCAAACACTCTGTCACAACTACGGCATCTAGCACTGTGACGTTATTGACCATTACTACAAACTGTGCCATTTATCAATCCATAGAATCTGGTGCCAGGGGTGTAAGATCTCCCATTACCTACCATCCCGCCACCTTTACGAGTTTCCCAGAAACACTGTGGCACTACTCGTCTCCCGTAGATCGATGGTGCCCGGAGCATACAGAGATGCAGTAATTGTCAGATTTTCGAGTGATCTTTGTTCTGGTGATATTATGCCTTGGTCCTTCCTGTACATAATCAAAAGCCGAAGTCAAAAGCATGTTACAGAGATGTCAGGAACTGTCTGAGTGGCGGATAAGTGCCTGGTGAAAGAGCTGTAGGAACCATCAAGACAGGAGCAGCTTGCTGGTTACCTCTATAGCACTCCCCTGACATGTCGTCTTCACCGGGCAAGCAAGGGAAATCAGAAGGTCACGAAATATTAGGAACACGGTTTATGGCATGATAAAGAAACTAGTACTGATTGCTGGCGATAAATAGGTACTCGGTACTACTTGATCAGGGGGAAATATGTCGAGGTGTTTACCATGATGGATCTTCTTGATAATAGAAGTTATCATTTAAGCAATGTTTTACTGCGAATTTTGAAAACATTTGAAGTACATAGTTGTTTGTTATAAATGTTCAGTGACTAAGATTGTTTGTGGTGTGTCCAGGACGGGGGTTGAGGTGTGGTAGAGATTTGGCTCCCGGGGCAGTATGTAAAACCATTGTTTCCAAGTATGTTATTCCTGCCATAGTTTTCATCGCGGTGTGTTTGTTGGTTTGTTGGGTTTGATAAATGACTAAACACTGCGCACACTGTAAATGCTGCTGGGGAACCATACGTGTAGCAGAAGTATCGTACGCCTACGTGATCTCCTTGCTGGCAATCCATGACCCGTTTTTTGTGTTGTTGAATAAAAGTTTATTCTTTTACATGTTCTCAAAACGTTTTAACTAAAATCTGTGACAAACTAGTTCTTGTACTGATATTTGCCCACGTTATTTTATACAGCCTAAGTATTTTGCTGTCAATGTTTAACTCCATCTCATGACAAATTTCCTGAAATAATGCCGGTGTGACGTCAAATTTCAACTCACTCGCTTATATTTCTACATCAGGATTTCTTTCAAGTAAGCAGCCCTAGAGAGTATGGAAAGTACAATCGCCTTAGCTAAGATCGCTTTGTTGAAGAGTGACAAAGTATTAATAACGGTATCATGTTAGCTTCTTCCAAACTCTACTCAACAGCGACTATAACATAACAAAAAGAACACCATCGCAAAAAACAACACAACTATGCAACACACTCAATTTAAGTGGTGGTGTGAGACAAGATTACAATGGGTTCAGGCTCATAACGCCGACCTTTCGACCAAACTTCACGGTTGAGTGGAAAACAAATATCGGCGTCCTGAGACTAGTTTCATTTTGCCAATTAATAAAGGATTACGAGGACAATGAAGGATCAACGAGTTGTTAGAAGAGGATAATCCGGATTATGCGGATGAGAGCACACCTAATGAGAAGACGACAACAGTATATGTTTATCTCAGTTTATTTCCATACTTGAAGCACTCATCAACAAACTCAGTTGACAGAGTTTAACATTATTTTACAATGATTCACATAAGTAAATACGTGACAATTTTAATAAAGACATCGCATATCCGATGCGTATTCATGATACATATAGCAGACATTTTTCCACAGAGATTGATCCACAGATTTTAACCAAAAATGCAACAGGTGGAGTGCTGAATCAGCAAACTGTTTCACGGACAGTGTTCCTTGCCTGAGCTGGTGACGGATGTCATCCAGTCGTCGCTCCAAGTCCCTGTATTTCTTGTTCTTGGACGGACGCTTCTGGCCAGCAGCGTACTGGACCATCTTGTTTTCCGTGTTCGTCTGTTCTCGTGACAGGAACGGCACGATCTCGAAGATGTTTGGGTGAGCCTTGCCGACGTATCTCTTCAGACGTAAATGCCACCCTTCCAGGTGGTTGTTGGTTCTTATCCCATCTGAGTTGTGGTGGTTCCATATCGTTCCACTGCGATATGTTTACCTAATGCGACGAGTTCACCTTATCAAAACATCTAGAGTAGATTATCCGGAACCCTAATTACGCCTAATCAGAACATAACCTTCATAGGAAACCGCAGGTCGGCGTCCTGAGACTAGTGGAAAATCGAAAGGTCGGCGTCCTGAGACGACACCTTACAATGGCCCCCAGGTGCTGGAGTACCGGATTATATTGAACTATGAACACAACACTTAGCTGGATCTGTTAACAGTCGAGATATTTTGTATCGAGCCTACAAGATGTTTCAAAATAAACATAAAAATACAGTTGAAATTCCTATATGCGTTTCTTATTTGGGAGAGTATATATATAACATACAAATAGAGATTGTCACAATCAATTCACAACATCAATGCCTGAAATAGCTGTGGGCACAGGTGGACCATTCGTGTAAGACACCGTGATTTCCCATTCAGAGTTCACTAGTTGGGGCGGTGGGGTAGCATAGTGGTTAAAACGTTCGCCCCGTCACGCCGAAGACCCGGGGTCGATTCCCCACATGGGTACAATGTGTGAAGCTCATTTCTGGTGTCCTCCTCCCTGATATTGCTGGAATATTGCTAAAAGCTGCGTAAAACTAAACTCACTCACTCATGAAATAGTTGTTAGTTCAGCTGTAGAATCTGACTAATACGTTTGCTTTCATGCTAGTTGGTGTACCATTCCGTGTGAAGCATCAAATGAATGAATAAGAATAGATTAATTCGCCTTTCACAAACGGATAACATCAACAGAAGGTACTTTGAAGTGGGGTACAATGTTAGTGAATGTTGGTAATCATCGTTCGATGAAAGTCAACCATAGAATTTATATTTGTTTGTTGATAAGGAATTGAGGTCTGTTTTACTGTAAATTGCGCTTTTCATTTTCTGCCTGCAATGATCGATCGACGAGAATGCAATATCACAATGTGAAGAGAAGGAAAAGTTCACAGTATAGGCAAACAGTTTACACGTTGAACAGAACGTTAAGCTCTTTGTGATCCTTCTCTTCAACCTTTGTGTTGAAAGCCTTTCCTAATTTTTACATAGGTTTTGTATTTGGTATTGGAGTATGCTGCATGTACGT